TGATAAGTGTAACAGGTTCCTGTATTTGAGGTAGTTTGTAATATTTTAAAAATTTCTTGTAACAATTGTCTATCTCTATAAGAGTTGAAGCATTGGAAGTAGAGATAGTATTTGTGATGTCTTCTACAGAGTCACTCAGCGTTTTAAGCTTGGCTTGCACACCTGTGGAGGATACCATAACCTGTTCTGTACATTGGAACTGGCTATCATATTCCTGATCCTTCACTACAATGGGCTTTATTACCCACCCACTATTATCATTCTCTTCTAAGTATGGCCTACATATGTAGAGGACATCATTATCTTAGAAGCGGTATCTGCATTAATGTTTATCTGTAAAAGATTTGTTTAACTTATATGTATATAGTGTTTGTAAGTGTATCAGGTGATTAATTGTTTTTGTATTCGTGTATGTATTACTACATATTTGTTTAATTGTTAATTATAGTTCCTACTACTATAACTAATAGTTTTGCCCTTATAGGGTTCTAGTTTCTAACTGGTACTATTGAAAAGATTCTATTTTTCCTATTCGGGACTTCAAAATGAGTTTCCAGTCCTTACATCCAGATTGGGTAAGTTCTCAGTCCTTTATTGGTTCCTCATCAGCATTTTTTCATAGAACTTATATCAGATTTATATCCACCTATTGCCACCTAACCAGATATATTTCTTTATGTAATATAGTACATTACACCAATACCAGTGCCTAGGGCTACAGGGCCGAAGCACGGAAAGCAGTACTCCAACTTCACAGGATATGGTTGACCATTATACAGGTCATATAACACCAGATATATTTATTATATATTCGAAAATCATCACCAGTAGGATTCGAACTCTAAACCTGGCCATCTCAGATGCAACAACTTAACTACTTCACTAAGTCACCACATCCTCATATAATCAATTATTAAACTAATAATACTCTAAATAACAAAACTAAATAAGTTTTAACTATTTTAGTAAATTTAAGTTATGGATAAATTAAATTAAACTAAATAATATTATTTTTAGTATATTTATAATCTGAGTTATATTTTTTAAAAAATTTGTTTTTTAGTTAAAAGCAACAAACATACCTGTGTATCTTTATTAAGTAATATAGAATTATATAAACCAATCAAAACTACTAATTTTGTATAATTATAGGAAATTTGAGATTACTATAAGAAACTTTACAATATATACAAAATATATTTTTTTTAGTAATTTAAGTATTAAATTTCATACCATTATAAAAACATGTTTTAATATATATACTATAAAATTTTAATAATAATTAAATATAATTATAAACAATTTTATTAATAACATTTTTTAATTTTTTATAAAAATTTTAATCAAACATGCAAATTATATGATAAAATGATCTACATAAATACAAAAATATTATGTCATGTGAAAAAACGACCAATCAGATGAATGTCTTAGTACAAACCATGCTCTACGTTTACGTTGTACAAACTCCGTTCCTGCTACGCTCATGATGATCATATGATTACGACATGATATATTAGATAATTTTTAAGACCACGTTTTAAAACATTTGCCACTCTACGAATGCTGTCATCTAACCGAAACTTTAAGCATAATCGAATATTCGTTTTTACTAATTTGTGCTAATATAAAATAACATTTTATATTGTTAGTATTAACATATAAATGAGATGTAATATTATCTAAGGTTGATTTTTTCATTAAATTTTGCCAAAATTAAAACGATAATACGTATAAAAAAACCAAAAATCAATAGCTCATCACGAAAAATAAATCGACATTTTAAGACTTTATGAGCATTTTTTCGAAATTAAATTTTTGATTATTTTCCCCAATTAAAATAAAAGCTATATGTAACTTAATAACCAGAGTTGTGCAAGCTTGAACCCAGGTTTGATTTTCTTGATCCAGATGCATTTGGACGGGTTGGGTTCAAAGGAACAATAATTAACTTTTTAACTCTATTGCTTTTATTTTTTTTTTTAATGGCTTTGTTTTTTAATAGTTTATTCTTTATTAGGCTTATTTTTTTATAGCCGCTTATTTTTTTTAATTTTTTGTAATAGATTATTTTTATAATTTTTTTAATAGCTTATTTTTTATTTATTTTTTATTTTGTTTTGATAGTTTATTTATTTAAGGTGGTTGGGGTTGTTGAAATTGTTTTAGGAAAAATCCGATATTTTAATTTTAAAAATCAAATAATATTCTGCTCTGCGAGGTATAGTCTTCAATTTATGACTGACGTGATGATAGTTCACGAAATAACTTATCAACTTGAACAGCTTTGTCATTATTTGTACTATCTTTTTTGTGTTTTGGCCCACGTCTTTTTGGTTGAGCAGAATAAGTGCATTCATTATTACGTTTTATGCATTCATTACACTCGAGAGATTTATCAGAATATTTGCATCTGACTTTAAAGTGTTTGCAAGAATCACACGCTCTCGTTGCGTTGTATCGGAATTTTAAGAGACTATTTGGCATTTTGAGTATTCATAATTAATGATTCGAAATTACGTATTGAAGACTTGATGTATTTATAGAATTTGGCAAAATAAATCTGTAAAACAAATTCGGAAGAGCCTGGAGTTTTTCTCTAATTATAGTATCATAAATATATTCTTGTGTAAGTTGATCTATTCACTGAATTAATAATTTGTTGTTTAACTTGATCGACTGTTCTATACTGCGGTTAAAAATAATCATCATAATTGGATATATTGAATTGCAAAATTTAGAATTTAATAGATGATTTTAGACAATACAACTATACGTTATGCTTATAAAATTCTTGTGACCGGACTATTCTTTGTAAATAGTTTCTAGAAAGTTTTCATTACATCATTAACTGACATCTTATATTGAAACTAATAAGGCTAGAATTAAATAATGTATTTCCTAAATTTTTAATACAAGATCTTTATTTCTACAAATAAATAAGTTGCTGGTATGTTTGTGATTATTCAAAACATAGCGGAATTATAATGGAGAGTAATAGACCAGGTTGTGTTTTATCAACCAAAAAATTTTTTTTAGTTAGTAATCCAGATATCTAACGGAGTCTGTTTTCCTTGTCTATATTTCGTCTAACGCTTCGTTGGTTCATTAATTCATTATTGATTAATAAATTAAATGCCAATGCGACCAAAGTTTAATACCGCAAGATTCTGATTGGATCTTATAGGCTTACGACCTAATCATTTCCATAGAACTCTGCTAAATTCCTTGTAAGAAAATCAAATCCGGGTTCTAATTATAATGAAATACAAGCCGTATATTAGCTAGATCCAATTTTTACCTGAAAATTGCCAGGATTCTATGGAAACGTCCAGGAATTTGTATATATTTTGTTCCGAAAAATGTTCATTTTCTGGAACGATAAGGAAACGATAATCTGGAGAAAATCAGGATACTTTTTCGAAAAAATTTTTTAAGGTTACACACCCGCTATATCCTCTGCTACGCTCCGGAAAATTAAGGAAAATTAGTTCCGATTACCGAAACCAAATTAGATAACTCGTGAATTAAATCGTACAAAAAGATTCTAGTTTCAGAATTTCAGTTTCACATTACCGTAAACTGCTGTTCCTATGACCCATACCCAGATGCAAAGGTGGTAGAATAAAATATGATAATATGAGGCGCGGTGAGATTAAAAAACAATTATAGCATGATCAATTATATCTGATATAGTTATTATACTAATAACATGTTACAATTAATCTCGTGCAACTATTCTTTTAATCTCAATATGCTGCATTTTAGTTGATGATGTATCATATAAATCACCCAAATTGTATATTCCCAGATATGGCATTGTACACTGTAAATATCTGAATATTAAGTAAAAATATAACCCTATTTTAATCATAATAACTTTCGGATTTAATCCTCCGAATTTTTAGAATGATATATGCATGTACTGTACGTACGTGGTGTCACGGGCTAAAAGTGAGATTTCCGAAATGTAACACTGCACCGCCAATTCAAGTTATAGCTGTTATCATTATTCCTGGGACACATTATGAAAAATTAACCGAATGATCATTCAGCCGATTCGTTAAGTTATTGGTTCGGCATGATCAATGTAACGTTTATACCAGGAACGTAGTAAAACGTAGTGTATGGTTCCACTCGAGTTTTGCGTTCGTACGCAAAATCTTGAATCTGATTGGTGCCCTGTTTTTTATTATGATTATATTGAAAAAGTACGATCGACATTCTTATAAATAATCCGGTCTGATAAACGCACGAAAAAATTCTGTGCCAGGTTGGTGGCGCAGCAAAATTGTTTAAAGTTCATTAACGTTCGGGTTAGCGTTTAGAATAAGTTAAATAATGAATAGTTATATAGTAAAATTGCTCAAGGAAAACCTTCTGTTAGAGCACTAAAAGTGGTTTTTTATGCAGTTTTTAAGAAATAAGCAATCTTTGACAAAACGAACGTTTGTTTTGAACTTTTCTGATCGTGTTACGTTACACCTGATCCTTGAAATATGATTTGTAGATTGACAATCTGCGCCATAATGATCGACAAAACCTGGCACAGAATTTTTTTGTGCCTGATAAACAGGAGGAACCGTTCAATGTTACACAATGTTCATGTATTGTCACATGTTGATCAGCCAATCAAATCATGGGTTTAAAAGATAGAAAATACAAAATCGAAGTGAAATTAAAATCGCAATAAATTCAAAGATTAGAATAAATGTATACCAGGAACGTAGTGAAACGAAGTGGATGGTTCAATTCGATTTTGGCGTTCGTACACAAAATCTCAGTTCTGATTGGCTGTTCAACAAATGATCTGCATTGTTTGAGTAACATATCAGTCGGTCTCAGATCATTGGTATAGGTCAGATGATCGACGCATCCAAATTTTAATCGTTTTAATCTAACATGTTTATTATATATTTTACTCTTGAACAAAAAACAAGTACTCTTAAATATTTGACGTTTTGCTAAATACAAAGTAGTTTTATACATACTTTGTCCGTTACTCCACTTGGTATTCTCTATTAAACTTTAAATAATTGTAATCAGAATCTACGTTCCTGGTTTTAGCACGACGGTGTCGTGCAGCTACCTTATTATTTACGGAGATAATCTAAAACTATGTACATACAGTGTCCTCAAAATTTTTGCGGTTAATTGAGTACTTTTAGCTGTGTTGCCACTTGATAGATTACTGGAAGGCCACTTTAAATAAGTCAATAGTGTTACTGAAACTTAAGTTCCAGTGATATCATTGATTTATTTCCAGTGGTCTTCCAAGTGACAACACTGCTTTTAGGCATAATAATAATAGTGAAAGACGATTTTTTTTCTTTATATAGCTGGGTTCGGAAAACTGCGACTTGGTCGCTCCACAATCTAAAATCTCGTGTAACGTACGGTAGGTAACCTTTTCGAAGGGTATATAGTAAATTAGTACGGTACGGAAACGCAAATTGAGACGGACATATGGAAATCATGATAGTATGTACGGTTTGTAAAAGAAAAATTCTTCCAAAGCAAAGCTAATTTTCCTATAATCTCACACGAAAAAGAACAATGCTCGCACTTTCCTAGCCCTAAACATTAAAGGATTAGGTCTCCTCTTTCATTTGGCATGAGGATGTGATGAATCATTGCGTGGCGAATAAGCACTAACTAAATAATTATATTAAATAATGCTTATTAGCCACACCCAATGATTCGTCACATCATTGTGCCAAATGGATAATAGACTTATAAAATCGCTTTGTTAACCGTACGTACTATCAAAATTTTGCTCAATTTTCGTACGTCTGTACATATTTGTACAATCGTACAGTACTACTTTGCTAACTACCTTTTTCGAAAGAGGGTGTTATATTTGCTGGTGGTTGATTAAGGCTTCCGGTTACTTGGATTCAATGAAGGTCCCCCAGGATCGCCGTCAAATTTTCACTTTCACATGATGATCATGCAATAGCGAGTTTCGTTTTAATGCAACGTTACACGATCAGGAAGATCAAAACAAAACGTTCGCTTTTCAAAAATTGCTTATTTTTCAAAAACTTGCATAAGAAACCACCTTTTGAGCTCTAACAAAAAAATATTCCTCGAGTGGTTTTACTATTACTCCCCTAAAACCTAGTCCTATTATAAACGCTAACCCTAACTTAACCGAATTTAAAGATTTTTAAACGCTGTCACGTGAAAGTGAAAATTTTGACGGCGATACTGGGAAGATAGGTCAGTAGGGTAAGTCATGTGAACAAGAACTTGAACGAACGACGATTTTATAGGGGTTTATAGAGTTTATACTGGGTATAGTGTTAGTGTTTTATTAAGGTCGATACAATGTATTTTAGGATTTGTTTATTAATAAAGTAAACAAGATATATCTGTCTCTCAGGATGATAATGCTTTTATTTATAATTACTTTTTAATTATGACCTATTTAATTATATAAACTTCAATTTTACCCTTTCTCTATTTAATTTTATTCCTCTAATTTATCAACATAAACTCTTATAATGATTAAATTTCTTTTTACCATTAAATATCTTTTTTTTAATATATTTAAATAATTGAATTAATATGATTAATTACTAGAATATCTATATAAAGAAATTGATTGCTATACTCACTTTTACATGAGGTTTTAGCATCTGATTCTTATCACATTATTAGATCTAAGAACATATTGATAATATAATTAGCTTACACAATTTAATTTGCATATATATATATATATATATATATATATTTATTTACTTTCTTCTGCTATTCTAAAGAACCTTAAACACTTTTAGGATTTGGCACATTTTTTTAAAGGTCAGAGTTATCATTTAATAAAGATCATTGTATGGTGTGTGGTCTCTATATTTATCACTGTACTCTTGAAAATAGTTCATCTTCTGTTAAGTCTATTATATAATGTTTTAGGTTTTGGTTTTATAATATTAGACTTACTATTTCTTTATTCAGTTTGCAGTTCTCTAATCTTACATAACCTACCAGTCAGATTGTCCTTTATATTTAATATTTTTTAAATCTATTTTTTGCTAAGTTTCCTTAATATTAATATTATTTGTTGATAGATTCATTTTTTCTGATTATCACTAACTCTATAAATATGCATTCTTATATATGAATCTTGGTTTTTTTTCTAATATAAAATTTTTTAAAGATCTTTCAATTATAAGCCTAATAAAGTTGTTATCATCTAGTATAATTTAAACTTGTAATCTTATAATTGTAATTTGGAAACACAACTACTACACTATTAACTCATAAGTTATATATATATATTTTCAAAATAGATATATTATATTTTGTTAGTAATACTTATATAAGAATTTATAATCTACTATGCAGATTATATTTTAATCATTATATGAATTTTAATTCTTGCATTAAAATATAAAATTACAAACTCAATAATCTCATATTTCACTTAGCAAGATTGTTAATTTATATAATTTATAATCAAAATATCTTACAATTCAGAATAT